TTGAAAACCTAGTTCACTCGTATCCATTACAGCACAATCATAGTATTATAAATTAGCTGTCCACTATACTTTGATTTCAATAATGCCTAAAATAGTGTCAAATTGTGATTGAATAAACTTTGAGAATTGTCTTCTTGTTTATTTATTCACTTAATTTTATCTACTATGCAATGAAAACGGTTATATCTATACTTGTGTTTATTGTATTCATAGAGTATATCTTTGGAAAATGCATCGTATGATATGGTGAACTCGCATGTTAGTTCATTTCATCATATTGAATTGATAGCTGAATTGGCCTACTGGTGTCTTCCATCAAGTCTTGGTGGTTTGCATCAAGGTCAATTGATGAACTATTGTGTCATTTGCTGAATGAATTGCATTCACATGAAATACATGCATCAAGTTCGTCATTGAAATGCCCTAAATCATCACCCTTATGGCTTAAATATTTACAATTGATTAGCTCATTGTTAGGTGATTGTTTTCACCATATATTGTGTATAATAAATGATAAAAACGTATCATCTAATCATTCCTCAGGAGTAAATCAAGTGTTGCATAATTCTCCTTTAAACGATTTAATACATGCATATCTTGTGATAGGCCTCACTGAATGTGCTCACGTTATCACTAGGCTAGCACATACATTTGCTCAGGCTATTCAATTTAAATTGAATTCCTTATCAGTTACTCTAGTAAATCAAATTGATAATGTCAACTACTTGTTTCAGGTTAGTTTACTGCTATTTTAAGTTGTAATTTTTATTATTGTCTAATATTTTTTACTTATTAACTTTTCCATTCTCAGCAGTTTATCATCCTTTAACCTTGAATTCGAGCCAAGAAATATCTGTGTGTTAAGCTAGGTATCACCAGTATATAAATACGCATTCAAAGCTGTGCGTACGTTTTCTTTCAGTAGTATTCAACTGTGTATTCTTCAGTGAAAAAGTCAAATGGAATATGTAAAACATGAGCTATAAATTATCTCCACCCGTCTCTATGGTTACTTTTAGTTACCGATATAGTTATTGTTGATTTGAAAATCAGTCTTTTACTAGATTGATGTTTAAAGAATTATTCAAATCATTTCAAACTGTTTGTTTACCTTCTTTATTATAACTGTTTCATATCTTTTCCAGTCATGGGAAGGAAATCAAACTGTTGGTTCAAGATTTCAAAAATGTCACCGACTGAAATTGCAATGAGTAAAGAAGTTGTAGAGCTTAGTTTTACATACTACTTTATCTCTGTCAGTACATAGTCAAGGTTTTGTCGGATTTCTTAGTTTTATAACGGTTTACATACTGCTTAACATTACAAATAAAATTTTAAACATGATTTCATGCGTTGTTTGTGTTACATCCTTCAGGCGCGTACAGTATACCTTCGTGTTAATTTTAGTTCGGTTATCTATGGTACTTCATCTTTGAACATTCAGTTAAGAGATTTGAAATAAAGCCTAATATTTTATGTAAGTGTCGTAAATACCTATTTTATGATTTGAGTTATTGATATGAGCTGAAAAAGGTCTGAGTGAGGGGAATATGAACTGTGACAAGGTGGTGGGATTAGTTCCGTAAGTTATTCCTGTTTTGAAATTCAACTTTTGTTTACCTTCATATCATTTTTTCTATCCATTTCTTCCTTGCATATTACTGTGAATTATGACAACTTGAACCAATGTACTTCTATGCCACGTTCTATTTTGATTTTTCCTTCTCTGTTTTTGGTTTATTTGTAAATCTGTTGCGCTACATTGTTTTTTTTTGCTTATATCTGTACGTCGTCAGGTTTGTGAACCGAATACTAACTGCGATTTGTTTCCTTCCCCCAATGATACAAATATGGATGCTGATAAAGCGGATGAACAAGTTTCTAATACGAATGATCACCCCTATCAGTGTGATCAAAACGGTAGTGAAGACGAGGAAAAAAATGATATCGCGAAAGCCGAATGGAGATTTCTATGTAATTTACCTGAAGTTCAGCTAAGTGGGTGAGTTTATATTTAGATGTAACTTTTTGGGTTTGCTTTGTCAAATACTAAAAGGTAATCAGATTTTATAGGTTCGAATGAATGTGAAAAAAACATTACATTTGTCCTATAGCGATCGATTTCGACCCATTTCACAACTATAGATGGTCAACACTTCTTAAACACCTAGCCATGCAGTCTTCAACTTCCTGCACAGTTCAGACCAATCATAATCGTCTACAAAATCTCTCTTTGCTTGGTTCGAACCAAATCCATCCTACATTAACCATCACGACACTACCACGGGACAAGAGGAACCAGTGGTTGGAGACCCTAGGTGATATGGCTCAGAACCGAAGTCAGTGGCGCAGATGTATACACGCATTATCCTCATCTAACAACGCTATACCGAATCTCACTATTTTGTCACTCCTCTTTCCTTTCTTCTCGTACTTTATATTTCTTTTGACTGTATTCACTTATCTTCATCCTTCACCTCACTACCTTTTACTTGATGTGCTGATATGAGGTGTGGCAACTCGGACCGTTACGCAGTAATGCCTGGTCCTATGTTGATAATGATGATGATGATGATGACCAAACAATATTCTATTATTGTACTGTATTGTTCAAATACGGAATTTCAGTATACCTTCAGAACAGTCATGGTTTTATGGCGGATATGTTAACAAAGATTGCTAAACATATTTGTACGGCAATTATGCTGCTTTCGTCGGTTCTTTTGATTCCTAGCAATCATTGATAATAATTTAGTTTTGATCACTTCATTTTATTGGGGACCACTGTGAACCAGTTGGAGAGTTTCTCTATGATGGGTCTTTGGCATAACTATCCAATCACTAAAAATAATGAGTCTACATACGTAGGTAGGTTGTGAACGGGAGACTGCGTTATAGTTCAGTAAGTTGGGTTGAATAATTTGTTCGATATCTTTAGTAATTGTTCTGTAGCATCTAAGCTTATTGGCAACTTTCAGGCTGTGCAACTGAAAATTAACTTCACCCATTGTTACCGATACAGTGTTCTAGCCAACCATATGATGACAGTTAATAAAGGATAGATAGTTTGATTAGATGATAATCTTAGGTAATTTGATCACCTTTAGTAACATTTCGTATAACACTGGTATTTGAAAAAGTGAACATGATTTCAGGAACAGAGCCGTTATGGACTCAGGATTCGTTTCATGTTAGTACTCCATAGACTGCGGGTAGGTTATTGTTACTCCAGACCATTGGTGTATCACTTTTTAAGCTCATTAATTTTCTGGGATTACTCACTTTGAGATCATGAGAAAAGATAGAAGTCCTGGCTAGGTAGCCAATGTGAGTATGATCAAGCGATAGTAACGCGTCACGAATTCATATGGCACTCGGACGAAACTCTTGGGGATCGAAATGAAATAAAAGTCTGGTCAGCAGATGAGTTTCGTAGCTCAGCTGGTAAGGCAGTGAGCCGAAAACTCGATGGTCTCTGGTCCGAATCCTGCTATGGCTCGAATCTTCATTTCACCTTTAATCATCACTCAGTATCGGAATAAAGAAGAGCATGTTAAAGATGAACACTATGAGGAAATCAAAATATGCAGCCGTATTGAATAAACTGGTAGCTGGAAACTAATAAAGCGGTACAATCTGTAAAATTATAGCAGAGCCGTTGATACAACTCCCGTAACTATACACGATAGGTCTGTTTGCACATTCACTAGAGGCAAATGCTCTGATGAAGTATACCAATCCACCGAGGATACAGTGAGGTATAGGGATAATTATCTGATTACTATTATATACAGCTATGTTGCTGAACTTCTCAAATGCAATTTGTACCTGTTAGATCGTATTACGTCTCTGATTATCTAAAACCGTGTATTAAAAACACAACATAATATAAATTTCTGTAAAGAATCAACATAAATATCTACTTTACAAATCTATGTACGCTTTAAAAACTAAATATTGGTGTATAGTCTTGGATTATGGGCCGTAAAGAAAAACAGCTCAGACTAGTCATATCTTCAATTTGCGTAAATAGGTACTTTGAAAATTTACACTGTCTAACATTTCTTTGTACATGAGCGTATACACTTTCATGCATTAGTGATGAAACGACTTTGACAGGTTATGTTAACTTTCAGTGGTTTCTCTCTCTCTCCCACTCCTATTCCTCATTGTGTACGGTTCCTTTCTTCCAACTAACAGATCTATCAGTTTATTCGAATTGGCATGTGATTGCCTTCTACCAAACATTTATCCAACTTTATTTGGATTATTTAAAGCGCAATATTCTATGCTTGATCAGTCCTACTGGATATATTGTCAAGCTTTGCATTGTAAATCTGATTCCATTCTATATTCCTACCTTGAATTGGACCAGTAAGTGTTAGTTAGATATTTTTTATTCTTTTATGGTTTTATTATAGTTGCTCTCTGATCTGTTGTGTTTTGTCTATGCTTTACTAATTAGGGGAGGACAACAGGAATCATTTATCAAAATGAAGTTTTATCTTCTGTAAACTGATGTATTAAAGCACTGTAAACAATATGACTCTTAATAGTATATGGATAGAAGTTGAAAAGATTCGATTGGCGACTATCCAACTTGGTGGTAGTGGATTACATCTTTTATTTAGTGTAGTGAAAAATGATTTGCACGACTAATGCATATTGTACAATAGAATGTCATCTCAGAGGGGGAATGGGGATGGAAGTAAAGAAAGCATGCAAATGAAGATAGTTTCATAGATGTTATACTCATTGTGTTTATAATTTGCTGCCGAATTGAATAAGTGTTAGGACAACGCTCATACTAGTTATATTATGACGCATGAAATCTTAAAAAATTCAAAACCGTTCGTCGTTTGAACATTGTTGCATAGCTGCTATGTTATGTACACATTGTCTCACCAATTATGTTGTCTGGTGGTACTGTTTATGTATAATGATGAACCTCGTATTACAGCAGTTACGTATGTACTGTTGACCACTTGGATGCTAACAGGATAGCCTGCTGACGTCAAAGATAAAACTCAACCGATGGCTAGTACTTTGATTTGGTTGTTAAGCTTGTATATTACAAGGACCCAAGGACCTATGCTTTAGGAAAACATGTTTCCTTAATATCCTACCACCAAAAATGTCAGTAGGCTAGAGTGGTACGACGAAGAGCAGTTGCCGTTGTAGTGTGATGGGGTTATGAGGGCAAAGTCGTCCTACCGAGTGCGATAGCAGTGAACTGTTTCTTGCAGATGACCAGCAGTGTCATATTTATGCTCCCTCCTTATAAGAAAGGGGGTTAGAAAAGGTCGGTCACAAAACTAGCACGTTTACCTCTGCCCTGCGGTCCTCCGTTACCAGCGATAGGGGTTAGTACCTGGATTCTAAACAAAGATTTAAACGTCACACTTTGGCTCTACGGTCATGTGCCACTATTACTAATGTAATTCTTTCTCAGTTACCTCAAACAGAATTGATCCTTCATAGTATGAGGGGCTGGGAGTTGTTAGCCGCCCTTACAGTCCTATCAGCATTCAAGTTCCATCAGGTCATTACCAACCTTCAAAATCGTTGCCTTTTAATCTTTCTTCTCGTCTCTCTTTCAATATTTCTACACCATGTTTAATTTTTTCCAACTCTACAGCTTTTGATAACAGTTCAAGTTCACGAAACAGCATCCTTGGTCTACTAAAACTATTCTCAAAACTATATTTTCAAGCATTCAATGTTCACACCCTCTGTCAAATTGTACAACAAGCCTCTCTTGCCGAAACTCTGATATCGTACATCATGTGGTGTCTTTCTGAGACACACACAGTACTCTGGTGCGGCTGTTCATTTAAACATCATTCTTCCAACATACTGAGTCTGTTCAATCCAGTCTTCAAGTTTCTGGAGACTCAGTGGTTAGTTCTCGTAGTTTTTAGGTGTAGGGACATCATTAAGTCATGATCCAGAAAGTGCCGTGAAGAATAAAAAGGACAGTCGATCTGACCGCCGTTCTGATTTCGTTGTCGCAACAGGTAATTTCAATCCAAAAGTGGGTAGCCTTAGTCGGGCTGAAAGGTACTTTGGTGACGTTTTTGGAGTCCTAGGCTAACGGCGGCCGAGTAGCGATCACCTCCTACAATCATTTTCAAACATAAATAGGGACATTGTTGGTCTCGATGTCCACTAAGGTCAGCCCAATGGTGGACGCAAAAAAAATCATATTGCTAACGGTTATCGTCGGAGAAGGAAAGGAACGATTGTCGCCCTTCTGGAGCACCTGTTTAGACAACGAGCACGCTTATATCTACACCAATAAAAGTAAAGGATATGAGAAAGCTTTGTAGTATAGGCCTTGTGTCATGTTGTCACCACGTCAGTAATGTAGAAGTTAGGCTTCGTGTTCGGCAAAAAAGGAAAGTCATTTGATGAGGCTGTGAACCCTCATCTACTCATACGGCCAGGATATGCGTTACAAATGCTCGGTTACTGTCTGCCCGTTGTAGAATGTTAGCTGAAGGCTAGAGTCGTTTACTTGAAGCATTAACGTGCTTTATTTAGTTTAAAATATGTAGGTACTGTTTTTCTTTCATGCATCTCATTTTTACATCACCTATGTATGCACGAATTCCACGTATAAACTGTCTAAGACATATTTCACAGAATAAATTTGGACTCAAATTTCTTTTCATATTTTCATATTGAATAAGTTCATTTGGTACGGAATACAGTGTTAACATTATTTAATGGATGAGGTTCCGAGCATTGTTGGTCGAATTGGGTCCAGGCTGAGAGAAAGTTCAGAGATGATCATACTGTTGTTGATCTGGGCCATGTAGGTGAATGTAGAATTCTGGGCTGGAGTCCGCATGACAGCTGAAGTCAGTGGTTAGCGAGTTTGGGTGATTCAATGGTGCGGATGTATCCACGTATTACCCTAATCATAGTCATACGGAATTTCCTTATATTTATGGCTCTTTTTCCTTTCTTTTGTGACTTTCTATTACTTTTAACCACTTCCTTCCTTATTTTTCTTCATTTTTAATCTTGATGCATTCTTGCTGATATGAGATTCTGCAACTTCGATATTTACGCAGTAGCACCTACTCCTATGATGATATTATCTGTCTATCTGACTGTTGGTCCAAACTGCGTAGACTGTTTGTTTAGAAATCAGTTGTAAGATAGTCTTGATGATATGACTGAGAATACTTCACAGTGGTACAGAATTATACACACCATTTAGTGTACTTGCAGTTGTGGATGCTTTTATCCCAACAGATAGCTGCTACCTTAACCCAGTGGTCAGGCTTGTATATGACGATGACTCAACGAGCTGTGCTAGTTGAGCGCTTGTTCACTCGAGGTCCTACCATACCAGAAAGGTCTGTTGGATAGTGGTTAGATAAAAGCAGTTACCCTCACCCTTAACATATTCTTAAACAAAACAGGCACGGTATGACCACTAAGACAGAAAGTGCATTGATCGACTGGATCCCAGCTAAGAGTCGCTAATGTACTGTTGTCTCTTTGTAATCTCTGCTTACGCACCCACTGACTGCAGTTCGGATGAAGTGAAGGACGAGTTCTACCGAAAACTGTCTAGCCTCCTGAAAGCCAAACGTCCAGACGTGGTTGTTGTTGCAGGTGCTTTCAACACACAAGCGGATGGGCTGAGTCAAGCGGAAAGGCACTTAGGTGTCAATTTCGGAATCCCAGCCGAACGAACAGATGATGGTGATCGCCTACTACAACTGTTCTAAATAGCGAAAACTCCAGACATAAAGAAAGATGTTGTTTGACGTGGTGTCCACCGAGCTCAACTCAGAGATAGATTACATTACTAACAGTCATCACTGCAGAGGGTCAATGGAAGACTGCCGCTGTTTCTATAGCATGTGTTTGGATAGTGATCACGCGTTAGTTCGAGTATCTGAGTCTAAATGGACACAGAAAAACTTTAGCAGCAAGACCATTACGAGTGCAGCTGCACAATGAGAGCACTAAGTGAGCTTTCAGTGAGAAACTGGGTAGATAGTTATCTGAACAGAATAATATCACTCAACCAAAAGAAGCTTGGTGTCACCTTCAGTCTGCTTTAAAAGGATCGTTTAAGACCTTGTCCGAGTCTCTAAGAGTGGTTAAAAAGAACCGGTGAATATCAGCAGCTTCTTCTGAATCAGTGGATGCAGGTGAACGCATCACTGCAGACTCTGAGTACAATCAAGAGCAGAAACTACTCAAACGTATACTGACTGCGAAAGATGATGGGCACTGAAGGCTAACGAGGTGGAAAAGGCTGTGGTGATAGGTAACAATACACAAATAGTTTGAAGCAACTGGTCCCTTTGATAAATTTAAACAGCGTAATGAGAAGACGAAGATTATCTGAAACATGTGATGTATTAGCGCTATACATTTCGAACAATCTGATCACACATGGACTTGTCGAACTATTTATATGAAAATTTACGAAAAGGTCAATGAAGTTAATAGGAAACATTAACTATTAACTTCATTGACCTTTTCGTAAATTTTCATATGAATAGTTCAACAAGTCCATGTGTGATCAGACTGTTCGAAATGTGTTTCAGATAATCTTCATTTTTTTATTACTTACATCTTTCACATTCGAGGGCGAACACTTTCAACAGATTGATGGTGTCGCGATGGGCAGTCCATTAGGACCGTTGCTAGCTGATGTATACATGTCATATGTTGAAAACATGGCTGACGATCTCATTGGAAGGGTTTCACTTTATAAGAGATATGTTGATGATATAGTCATTATATGTGAAAAGCCTGATGATGCAATGTGCCTGCTACAGAAAATGAACACGGCTCAGAATCACATTAGCCTGACTTATGAACAAGAGACGAACAACCAGCTACCGTTCCTAGACGTATTGCTCAGTCGACGGGAGGATGGCTCGATCAGGAGGTCGATCTATAGGAAACCTACATGGACAGGGCAATATCTTAATTTCCATAGCTATTGTCCAGTCCAATACAAACGTGGTTTAGTCAGATGCTTATTCAACAGGATAAACCGTATCTGCACCGATGACACCAGGGAGGAAGAAGCCAACTTACTGACGACAACTCTGATACAGAATGGATACCCGTTGAGATTTATCGACCGGTGCAAAAGTTATGTACCATTGAAAAGTATACAGTGTTCCGTTGCTAAGAAAAATGTCTACATCTCATTACCATTTAGAGGTGATTCACATAGCTTTGTTGTGAGGAAAAGACTTAGATCGGCCATCTGTAAAACGTATTATGCAGCTAAGGTCATCATTGTAGAGAAGACCAAGTCCATGTTACAGCACAAACCGAAACAACATATAAACGATTACATCACATCCCACTGTGTTTATCAATTTACATGTATGTGTGGACACACATATATAGGGAGGAGTAATCGTGATATGCAGTTAAGGAAGGCTGAACATGTACCTAAGTGGCTACAAAAACAAATGACCTCAACAGATCCGATAAGTGCAGGTGACAAACATCCATCTTCGTCTATCGCTAAACATATACTAGAAACTAACCATAGGATAGACATGAAAACAGCCTTTAAAGTACTACATAAAAGTGGTCAGAGCCGAGTGCTTAAATTTATTGAAGCTCTTGCCATCCGTAAATTTAAACCCCCTTTATGTATACAAAAACAATTTGTACTCACGTTGAACCTACCTTGGTAGTATTGATTTTAATTTTCATACCAAGAATAAGGTTTTTCTTTTCCTTTTCTATCCCTTCCTATTCCTATGTTTCCTATTAACTTCATTGACCTTTTCGTAAATTTTCATACAAATAGTTTGACTTGTTAAGGAAACGGGGGCGAAAAAGATTAGCGCTTAGGGAAACTATAACGAAGAAGGTTGGGTCTATGATTCATGCTAAGTGGAGACGATTGGAAACATGAGTGAGACACTTCCATGAACAGTTCAACTGGCCTCCACCTACTATTTTTTTGCCCGTCATCCAGTCGGATACTGAATAGGGTATCGAGATAGGACCACCAACATTAACAAAAGTCAGGAAAGTTGTAGGCAACCTTAAACCAGGGGACGTAGCAGGGCCAGATGGAAGAGGTATTTGAGGACGGTGGTAGAGAATTACTAATAAGCTCAACTGAACTGTTAACTAGTGTATAGGCAACAGATATGACTCCCTCTGATTGATATCAGTCACTCATTGCTACAGGCTTCACGATACGTGAGAGATCCTTCTGTGATAACCACAGGGTAATCACTCCGACGAGCACAGTGTCTAAAATTACAGGTTCTATAATAATTAAATGTCTAAATGGAACTCTAGAACAGCGAACCCGAGGAAATCAGGTAGGCTCCTGAAACATAGGCAAATGATACTGACTGACTTTCTCGACCTGAAGGCGGCATTTAACTCCATCGACCGAGAAGTCTTATGAAAGTGTCTCTCACTGAAAGGGGTCTCGACTAAGTACATCATCTTATCGAAGGCTGTCTACTCGAACACCTGTGGTAGACCTAGAAGACGCAGAATACGCAGACCTAGAATACGTAATCCTGTTCGGCGAAAAAGCTGACAAGATGATGCAGAGTCTTCTGAACACAGCGTTTGATAACTTGAGAATATTTAGGATGCATTTTTCACCATCCAAATGCAAATTGTTGCTCCAAGACTGGTCTTCAACTGTGCCACGGCTTACAACAGAGAGTGCAGTGGCTCAGTGGAATGAACACTTTGCTTTCCTGGAAAGTTGAACCAGCCCTGGTAGCTCAGTGGACGACAAAATCATTGCACGGATACAAAAGTCTTGGTAAGCTTTCGCCGGTTTATACCATCTGTGGCACCGTCGCGATATCTGATTGTGTATTAAGAGTTGACTGTACTGTGCTGCAGTCCACTCTGTTCTAATGCATAGCTTCGAAACATTGTCATTAAGGGTAGAAGACATGAAAAGGCTTCAGGTATTCGACCAATGGTGCCTTCGTAATGTAGGCCGTGTTTCATCGTGTCACCACGTGAGTAAATCAGAAGTCAGGATATGCCGCTAATTTTTGATACTCTTTGTGATCTTCTTTGTGTTGGTAGTTTAAATTTAAAATAGCATCTAAATAACTGGTGTACTCAATACTTTTACTCTCCGAATAAAATAAATATCTAGAGTTCAAACTTTGCCTCCTCTCTATTGTCAGTTAATTGAATACCTGATATCTTTTAACTGTTTAGCTAGATTTCACGTTGAGAACTTTCAAAGTGTAACAGGTTCTCAAGCACTAGAATATTAGCTTAAAACATGCACCACTTTCTTGCGTTTCTAACCATATCGAAGTTAGTATGTCAACATTTGTATGATAGTCAAAATACATTCATGCACTGATGTAGTGTTGCTTTCCTCTTTTAAAGAAATTTATGGTTATGGGAACCTTCGTCTTCTAGTGAATCCACAGTAAGTACTATGTAATAATGCTCTTTAATTCATATTTTTTACGCAACATGTCATTTCATATCTCTGAAATAAAATTAGTCCTAATAACGTTGACCGCGTGTTCATTTGTTTGGCTGACTGACTGCGTTACTGTTGTAGGAAAACTAATGTTACTTAGAGACGTTCATTTTTCAGTGCATACTTTTCTTACGTTTTTATTCACCAGTTTATCATTCAGTGGGAGAGATATTTATTATAAATTAAGAGGTGAACTGTCTACAATTACTTGATCGTTTAGTAAAACATATAATCATTGCCAATTGTAATCAAATACCACTCTATAATAAATAAATCCTGAACATTTTTGTGAAGTTTTACTGCTTTTACTGTCTAATAAGACACAAAAACGCTTGCCGATGAAACTCGTAGCTCAAAAAGTAGATCACAGTGACCATCTTTTTTCTGAGATACCGTCATCCCCACGAACACTATTATTTTGATAAATGTCAGTCGGTCGTGACAACTTATTTTGGGTGTACATTCAATGTTTATGCCGATTCCATACTAGTAGACGAAAGAATTGTGTGTTTAAAAAGAAATGCATTTCACATTGATTGGTCGAGTGGAGAGATCCAGTAAATTCTGATGACATTTTCCGTATTGCAACAAGTTGAAAAATGTCTACATACATAGGCAAATTGGAACTGGCCTAATTTATTCAACACTACTTTGGGCATTTATAGTTATTCCGATCATAACTTCAATCTTTAAAGGTATTATGAGTGTATTGCCTTTAAGTACTTTAAAATTAATGTAGGAAGTCTGTTGTTTCCATTGATTTCTCAACTATAACTGCTTAATAGCAACCTTGAGTAGGAATACCTGACAGTTTCAATATTATTATAGTTGATTAGGCAATTTAACTGAGGTGCCAACCTAACCACGTATCATTCATGTTACCTGTTGTTCGTCAAACCACTTTTTGACAAAAAATAGTAAAGAAGTTAGTATTTTTACTCATAGCAAAATAAAAGGTGTTGCCAAGCAAGAAACTCAGAAGTATCTTATCTAATGGATATTTGCTTAAATGATAATGATACTTTGACCATATCATTAGGTAGAATTTACATAACCAATGAGTACATTATGAAGGTAAAGTTAGTGCTTTTATTTTATTTGTAGTTACCCTTATCGGAAAGATATTCTGCTTTTCATCCGGCGGTGGATATTCTTCGTAAGTTAAGGTAAGTTCTAGTTGACTGTATTTTTCAAGGTATTAACTCGTCTTTCATCATGAAACAGTAAACTAGTACCACTCAATCAGTCAAAATCAACATAAGTCCAGGCATTACCGCGTAACGCTCTAAGTTGCCACACCTCATATCAGCACCTAAAGTAACAAAGACAACAAAATGAAAGATGAAGAGAGAAGGAAAAATCCGTCAAAGGAAGTGGGAAGTAGTAAAAGGGAGAAAGAAGGAATGAGAAAATGGTGAGATGAAGATAATGTGTGTATGCATCTGTGCCGCTGACATCGTTTCTCAGCCATATCACCTACAGTCTCCAACCACTGGTTCCTTTTGTCTCACGGATTCCAACTGGCTAGTTTACATCGTCCTGCGTGGATCGAATGAACAGTGGAGGACTTCATGCATTGATGGCATGTTTTTGTCCGATCGCTTCGAGCCTTTTTCAGCCTGAACGTACCTACTTCGGTCAAGATTGTGCGACGAAGTAGACGGTGGCCAGACACACGTGACACATGTCCTAGTCATCTCAGTCGATAAAGATTCACAACCACATCAAGTGACTTACCTCTCTTTCCTGAAACTCTACTCCTGACTTCTGATTTACTCACGTGGTGACACGACGAAACACGGCCTACATTACGAAGGCACCATTGGTCGAATACCTGAAGCCTTTTCATGTCTTCTACCCTTAATGACAATGTTTCGAAGCTATGCATTAGAACAGAGTGGACTGCAGCACAGTACAGTCAGCTGTGTTTTGCTGTATAACTTGCTAGTACCAGTAATCTTATTTGACGAATCTGTATTTTTAGTGGTAGCTTCTACTGGTGTAAGCTAAGAATGCGAAGAATAGCAATGTTTGCACTAGTAGGTTTGTGTACACCGCTGCGTGCAACAATCTGAGTGCTTACTAAAGTAATTTCGGGCCTCAACGAGAATAATCTATGCGTTTCAGGAAACAGAACCCCTTCAAAATCATTCTCCTTATGCACAAGCATTCTCCTTCAGCATGATATCTTCTACTGGATACTGACAATGAATGTCTTGGTTCTCTACGGGAGTATGTACACATAGGTTAGATATCTGATCAGCAAAGAGGGACATGTATGCGACCCATTGGAACTTGTCGATCATAGATCAGGTGTTGGTGATTGTCTTATGAATGTCTATACTTCCTACTATATTCACTCACCACCTAATTTTAGAATAACTATCACGCATTTTCTTCGGGCATTGGATATTCCCTTCAAATCTGAATCTGTAGTGGAAATGATCAAATAACTGATACCCTGTTTATGTATTCACAACTTATAGGCCACTTCAGAATAGTTGTTTAAACTACAATAGTGTTCTAGGTCTTACATGTTTAACATAACAGTGTTAAAAGTTATCATTCCCAACGTGGAGTAAAGTAAATTTATCAAGTTTTGCTACCTACATTCAAAATCAGCTTTTAATTACCTTGAAGTTTTGTTTAGCAGTGTAACCCTCTTTCAACTGAACAATTTGATTGGTTATCGATGATATTCGGTTCCATTTACTAGACATCTCAGTTTGATCAGCATCATTCCTTACCTTAAACCTTCTTTGGTAATCTTTATCTCACTTTAATGCCTAGGGAGGTGAGAAAATGTATTATTCCTCATTATCCTTATATTTTCTAAATCTGGTATTTTCTCACTTTATTTACCCCATTCTAGTTTAGCCCTTCATATACAATCCAGGTTATTCGAAATGTATTGCAGAAATACATCACATTTCTCTGGTAGCCGCCTCCGTCTTCTTATAATATTAGGCAAATTCATCAAAGTGACTAATTGTTTCAACAACATTCCATCGAAAATGCTGAATTCTGTAACGAATTAGGTTTCTTATTCTCTCATTCAATGAATGAAGTGACAGAAATCTATAGAGCACTTTAAAAGATATTTCAGGGGGAACTCAATGTTTTTACTTTACCAGATAGACAGCTCAGCCGTTCACTACTGAAAGGAATTATCTGTGATAGAGTTGGATATCGTTTTATCTTCTCTATTCACTAACCAAGATGTGAACTGTTTATGAATTATTTTAGCTGGTAAGGCCAATATGTTCATCTTCATCATAGGTGAACTTGTTAATGCTTCAACTCATTGTTCATAGCTGTTGGGATGGGAAGAAGATTCCAAGGCTTACAGTACAAAATGTTGCGCTTTGGGGAGTGTCCCTTGTAGTTATATCTCTGAATTCAAGATTCACTGATACAACTTCACTTAAACTTAAGTCACACTCTTATTTGACCGTCCTTTCTTTTATATTCTGGTTTATAGATCTAGGTAGGTTACCATTTTCGAACAGTTTCTTGATGAGTTTTCAATTCGTGCCTAAGAACGAGTCATTAATATTTATCCTTCTGAAATCTGACATGTTATATCTCCTCCACTACTTTGTTTCTGACTATCCGTAGAATTTCTTATCTGTTGCTTTTATCTATACCTTCATATTATTTCTTGATTTATTATATTTGTGTAGTAGATCTGTTAGTACTCATGGTGTGTAAACTTTGTGCTTGAGTTAATCCCGCATATATATATATATATATATATATATATATATATATATATATATATATATATATATATAACCTATTTTATAAATATTTGCCATAATCATATGACATATTAGTTTCATTTGATTAACTTGTTGTTGTGTTATCAGTCTATTTATATTAATGGTAAATGCACTCTGTTGATCGCTGATCACATGTTGTTAACCTGCGATCCAGCTGACATCAGAGTGCACACATGTTTGAAACATTTAATGAAATTGTTATTGGATAACAAAATCACTAAGACAGGAGGCTCTATTCTCTCGACTGTACACTTGATATCTTTCTTTATGTTTTCATTTCTACTAATTGGCATTATATATATACAACGTAACCAAGATCATGCACTTAAGCTACAAATATTCACGACTATTTCACAGTACTTACTGTTTGAGCGTTCGAGCCCTGGTATTTCTGTTTACAGCTTGGTAATATCGCCTCTGCATTTAATTGCAATCCTGAAACAAACTGGCTGAATAGAGTTCTAATATCTTCACTTTTGATTGAAGCACAGTCTGTGTGTATATTATGTAAATAATACTCAAGTTGAATGTTTGGTAGTGACATTTTCGTATACTAAAACTGACGAGCTTTTTCAATTTGGTCGAGTGCATTTTTTTCAACTTCTTTTTCCAACGGTTTCCGTTTTTGTTGTGTTCTTTTCAATAGTCAAAAAATAACTCCAACCGAAAAGCTTCTGATCATTTACCAAACATTCGCTACGGTGGATCATGTGAGTCACATTTTATTGATTGAGTTTATGGTGAACTAGAGGTATAAGCATCAATCATATAAGTAATCATCAGTTGACATGTTACATATACTTAGGAAAGCAACTAATGAAATGCGGTTTCGTAATTACTTCAGGCTACCGGGTATTGTGTGAGACTTTCTTTTGTACCACATAGCGATTCAAACTTCACTAAATGTGAAACACTGATTCAGTAGTTGGCTAGTGATTTTATGACCAGTCGCAATCATTTTAATATAACACTATAGCAACTCGTAAATGCGTTAGTGAATAGTTGAAGCAGACATAATCAGAGTAGAACCTCGCACACAAGTGCATCGACTCAACTTGCCACACTTCACAGTAGCACACAAAGAATAGGTGGATAGAATAAGAGTGATATCAAAGTAGACAAAGGTCAGTGCGAATATTCAATTCAAGCTTTAGGAGATGTCATGGAGTTAATACATCTGCGCCACTGTGACCGATTTCCAGCTATATCATCACGAGTCCTCAACCAATGATTCATATCCTTTCGGAGCAACCAGATAGTCTACCTCTCTGCACATGGCTCACACCAATGGTAAGAGACTTGATCGACTAGTAACAAGTCTTTGTTTGGCCACCCTGAACCCTCTTCCAACTTAATCCAGCTTCCCCTATCATCGCACGTCGATGTAGGTGGTAGCTTGGCATACCCAGTACATGTGTATGCCACTTGACTCGACGAATGCTCACTACCTCATCGACTGTCTTGTTTATTACCCTTCGCCTGACTTCAACATTACTCACACGGTGATTCCACCAAACGTGTACAGTATTACAAAGACACATATGGTAAAAACTCTGTAAGCACTCCATGTCTTCTGCTTTTGACGATCACGTCTCACAGGCGTACAACAGGATAGAACGTACTGTAGCGCAGTATACTCGTCCTTTGATAGGTAATCGGATATATCTGCAGTTGGCGCCATAGGTGACATAAGTTGCTAAATGCCAAACGAGTCTTATGTTTCTGAGCTGAGATTTCGCCAACCACTGGACGATTTGGGCTGATGTTACTCCCCGAATAAGTGGAGTGGTTGACCACCACCACCACTTTACTCCCTATCATTAAAGTGAGAGTGCCTTCGGTGGACCAGTCCTGGAGCATCGCCTAAGTCTTGTCAGGTGCAGTGTGACACCAGCCAAACATAATCACATTTCTGTTCAACGCGTTCACAAGACCCTACATTTTACCAACATCACCCTGTAGGACAACATCGTCTGCATTCTCTAAGTCGATCAGATGACCACCAGGGTGTAGGTTAATTCCTGTGAAGTCAGAGGTACCTAAGATTATGTCGATTAGTACGTCGATGATGAAGTTAAATAAGAACGATGACAGTGGGTATCCCTGGTGGACACCACTACTTGTCGTCAATTCACTTAACAACTCCCCATAAGCTCTGACACGGCTGCGTGAGATGCAGTAGAGAGCTTTGATTAGCGTTGCATAGTTGCTAGTGGGTGATAAGAGAAGAATGTGGTACTCCAGAAAGAGCGGCAGTCCACCACCCATCCTCTTCAACGATGGCTTAACCAATGTGATCTATCTGTCTATTGTTGGTTTGATCTCTTTAGACGCCATGTAGGACAGTGCCTCTCCTTATGTTTGAAGTTAGTGCTAGTCAGAAATAAATGATTTTCAGACCAAGTTTGCAACAAACGATCACCGTTGTCGGTTCGTTGGTATGGGATCCCGTAAATACTTGCCAGAGGCTTTTTCGGTTCACTCAGCTTCCCTACTTGAGAGTTAGAGTCACCTGCCATTATGATTACATCTGAACGTTTTGCTTTCTGTAGCAAAGTTGACAGCCTTCCACAGGATTCATCCTTTGCATCATCCAAGCTACGGTCGGTGGGTGTGTGGGCGGAGGTTGTGAATGGACATCGGTTGGTCTCACGATCTTTACAGATCCACTGAGTTGAACAGCACATAGACGGCTATTGACTGATATGCAGTCGAGAAGAGTACTTCCTACTCTACAACTCAATGCTATGCCTACTCCAGCAAGTTCACGAGAACTAGTCATTGGGTCTCCGAACACTCATGAGGTGAATTTCAGATTCACTATGACCATGTGACATCAATTTAGTAACCATACTTGGGTCCTGTATGTGTGTCTCAGAGACATATCACACATCCATGGCTCGAGATTCCTGAGTTTTGGCGAGTGATGCTTGGTGTTCGATTTGGTGTGTAGTTCGGACATTAAAAGCCCCTTAATCAAATCGATGATGTGGTTTTAGGAAACTAGCAGTGGGGTTTCGTTGGCTTTGATTGTTAGCAGTGGTCGCAGATTGAGGGAGTTGTAAGAGGCTTTATATTTGTATCAGGAGGTGAAAGCAATGGAGGAGACAGTATTGTGGAGGATATGTAATGTTTGATTGTCTTGTGTACTACAGGAAGCGTGTGGGTGGTCGACATTTTCAAGCTGCCCACACCGTAGAAGGCTAGTTCTTCTTAAGGTACCTGAAAGTGAAGAAGATTCATGTGACTATAGAGTTCATAGGACATCTGCTTGAGTCCTGTCAAACATGGCCTTTTGCGGGATGTTGTTTTGAAGTTTGCTTTGACCCCAAGAAAAATCCATACCACCGGCACCGGAAAGCCGTGAGGTCAAGGTGGAGTGTGCTGTCTTCGGGGTCGATCTTTCCCAACCCCCCTTCTTCTGTTGAGAAGACAGTATCAGCGTGGCACTACTGGTCATTCAAGGGAAACACCTTATTGCCCATCCAGCAAACAATACGACTTCGCCCTCAGACCCCCATCACAGTGTAGTGTTTACACTGCATTAGTAATTGCTTTTCGTCTTACCACTACCCAACAGATCTTCCCAGCGTGGTAGGACTTTGAGGAGACAAGCGTTTCACCGGTATAGCTCGCTAGGTTATTGTCATATGCAAACCCGACCACCACATCAATATGGAGTCTATCAGCTGGGAAATACTAAAGCAGGCCAAGCAGTTACCGCAACAGGACAATGAGATCCAGAAGCAACCCGAATGCAGACAGAAGTTACAATTACCATGAGTGGTGAAGGATGAACAGATGGAGGACAGCAGAGGTAGTTGGCGGTAGATGGACATTTAGAATGCTGAAGGAGACTGGGTAAAGAAGTCAATAGTTAGTTAGACGTTGTACAGGAGGATGGGTCTGTGATTAACTCGCTGGGGAAACATATGGAACATCTCAACTGGACTCCAGCCAACTTTCTAAAAAAGTTGATTCTGTTCATGAGTAATTTTATTATGTAAGGTGGTTTGATTGTTGACAGCTTTTTTTTCGCAGGATGTTGAATTATCTTCACTTTCCTAATGTGGATTACTTCCTCTTTCTCATTTGGAACAGACAATGTACCACTGTTATATGGAACTGTTGGCTGACGCTTCTCAGATCTGTGATTGTGGTCGCGAAAGCGGAGGAATGATAAATTTTAGTTTATATTTTATATGTATTTTCGAAATTCCGATATCCGTTTACATCATTTCACGTTGATATAAAGATGGAAACTTTGAAACTGTATTAGGTGACACAGATTTCACTATTCGGTAGCGCTTAATTATTTTCAAGCTGATTCGTATTCACTAAAAATGTTCTAGTTGATTAGTGTGTAGTGAAAACTAGCCTCTCCGAGCTGAGGATATGCGACGACTCTTTTGGTTCGATCACCGTAGGATTATTCCTATTCAGTGGCAACATCATGTTATTAACTCTGTGGTACGACAGCGTGTGTTTGGGAATGATGGAAATAGTCATTCAATAAGTCATCTGGAAACACCTGCTTCGGGGGCTTGGATATGTGATATGTATGTCGTCTTAACTGCTTTCATACCGTTCATTGTTTGCTAGCCCTTTGACTAGATGTAAGAAGCGGAGGGGTGGTCAGTGTACGACATGCCGCCGTATGATGAAGAATAACTGTATCTGCTTAGCATTTGTTAGGTCATCACGTCTTCCAGGTTGGGACCCGAGAGATCATGCAATTCAATGACTTGAGACGTTATCACATATGACTCAGAATCGAAACTAGTGACAGTTATGCTTTAGCTTCCTTCTATCTTTTGGTGCTGAAGAGTAATGAATGTTTTGTTTTGAATGTATCTTATTAGACTACCTTTCTAATCATTCTATTTTTATTCTGTTTTTCTTTCTATCTATCCACTTTCTTTCGCCTGTCTTCATAGTGTTTTTATATTGTTTTGTGTGGCGCGTTTATTGGTGCCCTTGGTCACCATGTTTATGTTCTAATGATAGTAATTATAAGTGAGAAAATAGGTCTTTTCCGATATCGACTAATTTCTGGTCATTCTCCATTGCAATGTGTACAAATAAGTCTTTTTTATCAGCTATCTCTGAGTTTTGACGACTCTCCAAGTTGTATGATTGACATCTTCGACTGTTGTAATGATCAGTTGCGTAAATGACGCCGTATTCATTCATGTAGTCATAAAGCTTTTTCTTTTTTGTTTCCCATTTATGTACAAAATACTCACATGTCAAATCACAGATAGTCAGTAAAAGTGAGCTTTCGCGTCATCCTACTCAAGAAACATCAGATGAGAGTCACAGCTGTAGAAATCTTTCGATTTGTTCAGTGGATACTCTGTTACATTTACCTGGGCTTGATCAGCTACTACCTATCATACAATTTGTTGTTATTCGCGCTGGTATAATGTATTTAGGTGCTGAGTTGGCGTATATTGAACAATTGGCTCCAGAACGCCTATCACTCACTGGTTTATTGCCATATCTAATGACTACAATGCAAGCGTGCTATGATCAAATCCTACGTGAAGGTTCACAGTTTACAATCCAGTTCTGACAGCATATTTTATTGTGTCACTTATGCGTTATTTCTGAACAGTTTTTTTCTAACATGCACACCTTCCTCAGATCGCTCACTACCTTTCGTATATGCATACAAAATAATCAAGATTATTTCTTTATTACTAATTTTTAATTTTATTCGAGATGATTTACACTACTACTTCTTTGTTTTTACCTTCTTAACAATCATGCTATATTTTTCTATCCACTGATTCCTTTTGACTATTCACTTGAAAATTCACCTGCAGTGGTTCTATGTTTGCTCAATACCTCCTGCTTGTGTACTTTTCGTGTGATTACCAGCTCTCATTTATTTTGTTTTTATAATATGTTGTTATTACGTGAAAATGATAAAATGGTTCTTCTTAAAAATAGTTGTACTTTAAATGCGTATGTACCTACTATTACTACTACTTTATACCATTGGACGAATGAACCAATTCCTGATTTACTTTGATTCTTTACGTCAGTTTTCTTTGCTATATATGTTAGCTGTTTTTCTAATAATTTATCAATAACCTACTACTTATTTATTCAGAAAAAAGAGTATAGTTTGTACTTTGTTATTTATACAGTGTGAATATATGTAGTATCAAGACTGGTGACCGTTCTTTTGTTTTATGAAGATAATTTAATTACAATAGTGAAATGTAATGTAGCTTAACTCGGTACACATTGATATCACTAGAGTGTGAGGCATACTTGTTGTATGAGACCTTGTCATGCTACTTAATTGCGGGAGTGACTTTAAAGGCCACCCTAGCAACTGTTAAAAAAAACCGGTTATGACTGTGTATTTTATAAAAATCTAAGCTCCTGGCAGAAATGCTGAAACCTGATTGGCTACTCCAACAGTTGATATGGTGGCTTTTAAAGTCACCCTAATTACCCAATTTCAAAGTGGAACAGGCTGTACACTTGAGGGCCACCCAAGCATCAACTGAAATAACCAATTAAATTTTACTACTAAAAATCTCCTAAATGGAGACTTAATTGGTTATTTTGATCGTTGCTAGGGTGACCTTTTAAGTCTCCCGTTATCAATGAGTGTAACCAAGTGAAATTGGTTCGAAGTCTGAAGTTGTTGGTTTGAAAAGAATTGGACATAGGGCAAATGACCAACCAAGGTTTCTTTTTTCAAATTAATGAGCAGTAAGAAAAGAATTTTTCAATAAGACTTCACTATTTAGTGCTAACAGATGAGGTACAAAGCAGTCAGAGTACAACCTCACACAAAAGTTCATTGGTTCAAGTTTCTATACTCTACGACAGCATGCAAAAGACAATTGGATGGAAAAAGAGTGGTATCAAAGTAGATAAATATGTCATAGGAAGGGGCGGGATGCCAAGAGAATATTAAAAATGAAACTCTTGAGGATGTTCAAGCTTAAGAAAACATCAAACAGTGGTCGGTTTTCAGCCACGTCAACGAGGGTTTCCAACCCTTGATCCTTTCTATCTCGAGAACCCCAACCAGGCACTGAATTTCTTTACACGACCCAGACCAGAAGTCAAAGATTTCATCACCTGATACTGTATCTTGGTCTGGCCACTCTGAACCTAGTCCAACTTCTAGCATTGCACGTTGAAGTAGGCGGTAGCTCAGCATCCAAAACACATGCCCAAGCCACCTGAGTCAGTGAGAATTCACTACGTCAATCACTGATTTGCCTTTCTTCGTCTAACCTCAACATCGCTCACAGGATAATTTTTACCATACATGAGCAATGGTGAGAAGATGATTGTGCTCTCTTCATATCTTATAATTTTAGGGTTGATGTCTTACAGTCGCATAGTTGGACAGAATGGACTGCAGTCGAGTATGGTCTTTCTTTGGCGTGTAGTGTGATATCCGAATGGCACCAGAGATGATGTAATTAGGGAAATTATGAAGAGGCTTTTCGTATCTGACGTTAGATTTCTTCAGCAACCAATCGTTTTGGCTAATGCAACGGGTAGATGGAGAAAAAAAATGCACTAAGCAATCATGTCCAAATGTATACAGTAGGCAATGAGCCATACCTATTGTGTGACGGCTAGTGATACTATCTAGCAGTATACCGGAATTCATATTATTAAAGCCTAATTTATACCTACACTAGAAAACCGATGTAATCAGTATATGTCCGACAAGAATTATGATCACATGTAAACTCAAGTTTATTGTTCATACACTTGTCGCATCTAACAGTTATCATTAGGATATTATACATTGCATTACTTCACAACGTTACCAGTCACAAACTTGTTCTTTATTCATTAGTAGATATAAACACAAAAATAGTTGTATTCTTAACTTTGTTATCAGTTACATGTGCACTGGTTTACTCGTTTTCTTAATGTCTCTAATTTTTTGCTTTACTTTCTAGTCAAATGCTTACATTTATTAAACACTGAGATGACCTTACTTCTTTTTCGAAAAATGAGCTACAGGTAGGTTGTTTTCAGTTTTGTTTTTGTTACTTTTCTTTGCTATTGTTGATGATGTAAGGGAAAATATCTCCTAGACTAGTAGTTGGTCAAGTTTCATCGAATTAATCGGTTTTAATCATCACTTTTCCTACCCGTTCCAGCGATATTTTCTTTGAATAAAATGAGCTTTGGTAAAAATAAATGCAACCCAATACTGTATGCGTGTTAAAGCACCAGATTTATTGTGTCAGGGTTTATAATACTATCCAGTCACCTAGGCCGAAGTAAGAGAGCGGGACTTGAATCCAGGATGGATTGCTTGAAAGTCGAATGCTTAAACCGATCAGGCAAAGCTCCAAGGAGCTTCAGTAAAATGATCTGAATAATCGTAAATGCTATCACTAACTGTTGGTCTTAGTTTTTCGAGCGATAGTAAGTTCAAGACATCAGATACTGAAAATAAGCGAAATCAGTGGTTAAGAGAAATCAAATGGTGCAGATTGAAAGAAAATAATGATGTAGATTCATCTTTTTTTCCCCGTGATCTTGTCTAAATCTGAATGGTGTTAAGCAACTTTTATTGTTGCGTATATTTTCTAAGGGTATTCGTTTCTCATATTTTCCAATAGTGTAACGGTTTGAACCAGTAAACTATTGTGTCGTCAACACCGTCCATCCAGTTAAATATACAAATCTAAGTAAGATGAAGTGGAAATTTCTGAGGAGTTTAATTAAACATTGTTATCATAACCGAATAATAAATTTAAGGGTAATGATGGCTGAATTATCAGTGTTTCAACTCTACAACTACTGATCATGAATATCGTAGAACTTTATTCTGTAAATCTTCACTTGGTTAGTAGGCAGTACTTATTTAAATGTGTTTACTTTTAAAAAATGAAGACTATTTTTAATCAACAAAGATCTTTTTCATTTTCTTGTCGATAAATTAACATTATAATATATAGCATATGAAAATTTCTTGGGATATCATTACTTCTATGGGCGTACAAATACCGCCAATTCAAGGTGTACATTTAGTCAGTCATTGGTTTTCTGAATGGAATGGTTTAGAACGTGAATTATTCCTTTCCACATTGAGTTGTCTTGAAGAAATCAGTTGCTATTCACCTACTGAATCATCATCATCATCAACAACAAACGATGGGATTAATATGTTCAACAATCATGCTTGTGATAATGCTGATCACCAAATGACAGATACATTTTTAGCACATTTAATGGATTCTAATTTACGAATCAATTCTCAATTGACTGTTGAAAAACCAAATTCATGTGACATATTTCAATGTCAAATACGCCTATTTCGTAATTGGTATCCGCAATGGCCAATGGAACAACGTGTACAACTGGCTGGTCGTTTAAAAGATATACAATTAAGATCAATTAATGTGTGAAAGTCATTAATATTTTCTGATAGATGAATTTCGTTGTAACGAAACGGTTTTATTTACTTGTTCGTATCTTATTCAGGTGTAAAATTCTGTGGACAACTAATCGATCTGCCTCGTTTCCTATCATTATACTTATTGTTTCAATTATTCAATGATTGTATGTACCTTTACAAAATGTTTCTTATTTCGAGTGTTGTATTTTATCAGTCAGTCTTTAAAATTTACATCATAAATGTAGCTGTACTCGACTTTTATATGAAGATAGTTTCATCCGAACCCAGCATGCATACCTACATTGTCTATGGTTAAGCTTAAATAGGAAAACTGATGGAAAGTAGTAGGTAGCATTAAACACCTGTGCTATACTGAGAATTTTGGCATACTCGATCTTCAACTATATATGGCTCAAAACCTTCACAGCTGAAGCTGCATGAAGTATTTTTATTTTTATGCTTATCATTGAGCCACTGCGTCAAAAATTAGGTCCATATTCCATAATGGTGAGTAATTATGAATAAAACGTGAATATCTCCCTATCTATTATTTTATTTATTAGTCGTAACCTACCTTCCTTTTTCGGATTTAACACGTTGTTTCTAAAATCATATCATCTACAGTTTTTTTCAAATTCCGCACACTTTAACCATCCCAACAACCTCAGGTAGTAAAACAATATCTCTTGTCTCCTAAAACTACGCTGTCAGTTTTTTGTTGGGGTTTTCAGCTGCCCAACCCTATGTTAAAGTGGACAACAGTTCTTACTAGCGAAAGCCTTCGAATTGGGAGCCATGGTCTTGTGTTGTATTTACGAGACACATATACAAAATATGTCGTAATTTACTTAAACACATCTGACCAATACAGTCAGTTCAGAAAATTTATCTTAAGGTTGCTTTAAATCAGTTCGAAGTGTTAGTTGTTTATGGTGGTTCAAGTTCGTCTTCGCATACCTGTAGACTGGATGATGTAGGGAATGGGTTTACAAATCAGTCAATATTAGCACAGGAATTATCATTACTGTCTAGCGATGCAAGCTGCCGTAACTCACATCGAGAAAGAATCCACTGAGATGAAGGATATAGAAATAAGAAAGTTATCAAGAGTAATAGGAAGAACTAAAACAACTGCGAAATTAAGTATTTTTTGTTTAACTGTTTTTGGTTAGTTAGAAGGAATATTTAATTAGGCCTAGTAACAAAGATCAAGCTGATTGAAGATTAAAACGCACAATTGTGATGCGAGGTAAAATTAGTCTCTAAAGCGCATAGAAACCAACATAATTAGCTGGCTAGCATTTAAAGTCTCATAATATGTAAAAATAATTTTCAATATAAAGCATGATAAAGGGTAGCACAGTTGTGAATTTTAATTTTTATTCAACTTGGTCTTTGTTACTTAGCTTAGAGAAATTATATATGACGAATAAGAAAAAGATAATGTGTAGATACATCTGCATCACTGTGATCGATTTTACACCATGCCAACACGTTCAACCACTTTACACTCCCTAATTTTTGACGAGGCATGATCACACAGCAATCCTTGAGGAACAATTTGCATTTCAGAGGTGATCAACGGTATCCCAAACATTCTCAAATCACCCGTCAAAATTTCCAGAAGACCCTGAGTCTTGTTATTGTTTTAACCTAGCACGACTATGTCATTTGTGTATTCTAAGTCTATTAAGGAGTCTCGTGTGACAAAGTAGATCCTTGGATATTCAGAAGTGGAGAGAAAAACCTCAATTAGCGCGTCTATGAAAAAATCGGAGAGTAGGCATTCTTGATAGACACCAACCGTTGTAAAAACCTCACTATAGGCTATAACAGACGCTTGAATTACAGTGTGTTCAACAGGGTGATTCACATACCCGGCATCATTCTGAGTGAGACACTGCCTTACGACTCCCCGATCAATGGAGTCAATTGCTGCCTTCAGGTCAGGAAACACAGCCATTGTCAGGTACCATTGTGTCTGTATTCCAGAACCCAGCAGAGAGTTAACGTCTGGTCGATGCGCACACGGCTAGTTGTGAAATTTCACTGATTTACTCTTCTCAAGCTCCATTTAGACGTCCAGCAATTATAGGGGATACCATCCCAGACTGATTCTCCTGTGGTTGTCACAGTAGGATTGCCGCACTTTCTTGAAAGTTGAGACAATCAGTGAATGGAAACGGTCAGATGGAATCGTATGTGATTCCTTGATGCTAGCGAACAATTCAGTCAGTAATCCTCGATCAGTCTCCTTAAATGCTTCTGGTAATTCCGCAACGTACCCAGTTTCCCTTGGTTTACGTTACTTTTGGCCCTCTCAACTTCGACAAGAGTTTGATGGCCTGCCTCCACATTCCATTAAGGATCCGACTGGATAGAAAGTTGGCTGGAGTCCAGTTGAGATGTTCCATATGTTTCCCCAGCGAGTTAATCACAGACCCATCCTCCTGTACAACGTCTAACTAACTATTGACTTCTTTACCCCAGTCTCCTTCAGCATTCTAAATGTCCATCTACCGCCAACTACCTCTGCTGTCCTCCATCTGTTCATCCTTCACCACTCATGGTAATTGTAACTTCTGTCTGCATTCGGGTTGCTTCTGGATCTCATTGTCCTGTTGCGGTAACTGCTTGGCCTGCTTTAGTATTTCCCAGCTGATAGACTCCATATTGATGTGGTGGTCGGGTTTGCATATGACAATAACCTAGCGAGCTATACCGGTGAAACGCTTGTCTCCTCAAAGTCCTACCACGCTGGGAAGATCTGTTGGGTAGTGGTAAGACGAAAAGCAATTACTAATGCAGTGTAAACACTACACTGTGATGGGGGTCTGAGGGCGAAGTCGTATTGTTTGCTGGATGGGCAATAAGGTGTTTCCCTTGAATGACCAGTAGTGCCACGCTGATACTGTCTTCTCAACAGAAGAAGGGGGGTTGGGAAAGATCGACCCCGAAGACAGCACACTCCACCTTGACCTCACGGCTTTCCGGTGCCGGTGGTATGGATTTTTCTTGGGGTCAAAGCAAACTTCAAAACAACATCCCGCAAAAGGCCATGTTTGACAGGACTCAAGCAGATGTCCTATGAACTCTATAGTCACATGAATCTTCTTCACTTTCAGGTACCTTAAGAAGAACTAGCCTTCTACGGTGTGGGCAGCTTGAAAATGTCGACCACCCACACGCTTCCTGTAGTACACAAGACAATCAAACATTACATATCCTCCACAATACTGTCTCCTCCATTGCTTTCACCTCCTGATACAAATATAAAGCCTCTTACAACTCCCTCAATCTGCGACCACTGCTAACAATCAAAGCCAACGAAACCCCACTGCTAGTTTCCTAAAACCACATCATCGATTTGATTAAGGGGCTTTTAATGTCCGAACTACACACCAAATCGAACACCAAGCATCACTCGCCAAAACTCAGGAATCTCGAGCCATGGATGTGTGATATGTCTCTGAGACACACATACAGGACCCAAGTATGGTTACTAAATTGATGTCACATGGTCATAGTGAATCTGAAATTCACCTCATGAGTGTTCGGAGACCCAATGACTAGTTCTCGTGAACTTGCTGGAGTAGGCATAGCATTGAGTTGTAGAGTAGGAAGTACTCTTCTCGACTGCATATCAGTCAATAGCCGTCTATGTGCTGTTCAACTCAGTGGATCTGTAAAGATCGTGAGACCAACCGATGTCCATTCACAACCTCCGCCCACACACCCACCGACCGTAGCTTGGATGATGCAAAGGATGAATCCTGTGGAAGGCTGTCAACTTTGCTACAGAAAGCAAAACGTTCAGATGTAATCATAATGGCAGGTGACTCTAACTCTCAAGTAGGGAAGCTGAGTGAACCGAAAAAGCCTCTGGCAAGTATTTACGGGATCCCATACCAACGAACCGACAACGGTGATCGTTTGTTGCAAACTTGGTCTGAAAATCATTTATTTCTGACTAGCACTAACTTCAAACATAAGGAGAGGCACTGTCCTACATGGCGTCTAAAGAGATCAAACCAACAATAGACAGATAGATCACATTGGTTAAGCCATCGTTGAAGAGGATGGGTGGTGGACTGCCGCTCTTTCTGGAGTACCACATTCTTCTCTTATCACCCACTAGCAACTATGCAACGCTAATCAAAGCTCTCTACTGCATCTCACGCAGCCGTGTCAGAGCTTATGGGGAGTTGTTAAGTGAATTGACGACAAGTAGTGGTGTCCACCAGGGATACCCACTGTCATCGTTCTTATTTAACTTCATCATCGACGTACTAATCGACATAATCTTAGGTACCTCTGACTTCACAGGAATTAACCTACACCCTGGTGGTCATCTGATCGACTTAGAGAATGCAGACGATGTTGTCCTACAGGGTGATGTTGGTAAAATGTAGGGTCTTGTGAACGCGTTGAACAGAAATGTGATTATGTTTGGCTGGTGTCACACTGCACCTGACAAGACTTAGGCGATGCTCCAGGACTGGTCCACCGAAGGCACTCTCACTTTAATGATAGGGAGTAAAGTGGTGGTGGTGGTCAACCACTCCACTTATTCGGGGAGTAACATCAGCCCAAATCGTCCAGTGGTTGGCGAAATCTCAGCTCAGAAACATAAGACTCGTTTGGCATTTAGCAACTTATGTCACCTATGGCGCCAACTGCAGATATATCCGATTACCTATCAAAGGACGAGTATACTGCGCTACAGTACGTTCTATCCTGTTGTACGCCTGTGAGACGTGATCGTCAAAAGCAGAAGACATGGAGTGCTTACAGAGTTTTTACCATATGTGTCTTTGTAATACTGTACACGTTTGGTGGAATCACCGTGTGAGTAATGTTGAAGTCAGGCGAAGGGTAATAAACAAGACAGTCGATGAGGTAGTGAGCATTCGTCGAGTCAAGTGGCATACACATGTACTGGGTATGCCAAGCTACCACCTACATCGACGTGCGATGATAGGGGAAGCTGGATTAAGTTGGAAGAGGGTTCAGGGTGGCCAAACAAAGACTTGTTACTAGTCGATCAAGTCTCTTACCATTGGTGTGAGCCATGTGCAGAGAGGTAGACTATCTGGTTGCTCCGAAAGGATATGAATCATTGGTTGAGGACTCGTGATGATATAGCTGGAAATCGGTCACAGTGGCGCAGATGTATTAACTCCATGACATCTCCTAAAGCTTGAATTGAATATTCGCACTGACCTTTGTCTACTTTGATATCACTCTTATTCTATCCACCTATTCTTTGTGTGCTACTGTGAAGTGTGGCAAGTTGAGTCGATGCACTTGTGTGCAAAGATCTATTTTGATTTTTTTCAGTCAGGCTCAGGATTGTCGTCAGCAGTCTACGGTTGGAATGATCTTGTTGATCTGAGTTTTACATCGCCACTTAGGCGCTCACATACGCCTGATCACTTTTCGAATATGTACTCGAGATTGGGTGTCATTCTTCGATCGTCTCAATCGGAAGAATAGTAATAATGGATGTTGGGCTTGAGGATGAGACAACGAAGTATTTATTCAGGTGTGATTTGGCTAGGCATCTGTTTGAATACGACAGCAACTCCTATCCTCATGAAGATTTTTGTAATGCTCAGTTTAGGGTTGATCTATTTAGCAGTCCGCTGAGTGAACTTTGTACATTCATGCAACAGGCAATATACCACACCTATTTTATGAGGATTAGTGTTACTACCTGGCTGCCCAAAGCCCAATAGTTAGAACCAGGTTCGAATGCACGACCTATCGGCTGGTAGTCAAGTACCAAGACATTTGAACCGCAATGGTAAAGAAGTTTTAGTAACCGAAAATTAAAGGTTACCAAGGCTCAGTAGATCTCTGTAGCTTTATCGGAACTGGCTTTTGCGAACAGACTTATTCTTGTTAGCTGCTGTCACGATGATGAGTTAAAGCACCTTAAGTATCAAGTGAGTCTTTGGATTGACTGCAAGTATTGTTTAACGGTTAACTCATTAGCTCTATATTGATTTTTCCATATGACTGAATAGTCAGATATGATGCATGAGTATATTACAAAGGGATAAGACAACAATCAATAACCCGGACTTTTATTTGTTACATATACGTGTTGTTTTTTAAGAATTATCTACAAATTATGCTTAAATTTGAATTCATTGCATATTTGCTTCTTTAGACAGTTTTGTTCCACATTAACTAACATTTCTCATTAGGTTTTTGAAATTTATTCTTGAATGTTATTATATGGAATAAGTTACTATATTAAATTCCTAATGTGTTGCATTTGCATCTATGCACTCCTGCGTGTATATTTATAGGCATTCAAACATATTCAACTTCTCCATAGGTTACGATAGATGAAACATTTTTTGTCTATACATCCCTTGATAGTAACATAATGATTGCTAGAAAGGGATATTTACGGAACACGTATTAACCATATGTGTGGGACATGTTGATCGGGTTGCTCGTGTGTATGTGTATATATATATGTGTGTGTGTGTAGCTTTAGTAATTCAGAGCGCATAATAAGGCTACACCTCGTTGAACCCAGTGTTTTTGTTGTTGATCAGTCGGAACTTCGACTGAAAATACAAAATTAGTTGAATGACCAGTAGTAGACAGAGTACCTTTAAAAGAAGAACACAAGAATAACTAATCATATTGGTAATTTAACTCATCGAGTTCTAGTAGTGTTGGCACCCATGCTTCATTTTTCTGGAGCAAAACTATTAAATACGTGGACTATGATATTTATACTGATGCGAAAATGTTGACGGGAGGTTATATATATATATATATATATATATATATATATATATATATATATATATATATATATATATATATATATATATATATATATATATATATATATATATATATATAGTTACAAAGCGATTTAAAGATATTGCAATTTTTAACTGAGACTTCAAAGCTTTGTTTATTGTTCGCAGCATCACTTAGTGTCTCATGCATATTGCCCATCTAATGAAGACAATTTGCTATACGAACCAAACAGTTCAATCACATATTCATACTTAACGCTTAGAAACATATAAAGCTGATCAACTTCGTCGACTGAGAGATTTGATTGGCTTCTAGATTCGCATACAGTAGAATCCTAACTGGCATTGGAAATAAGTGATCAGTGTGTCTATATCTGTAGACATTTTAAAAGAAGTTTAAATTTCCTTTCTAGAGAATAAGGCTTCGTGGGGTGTTTCATCCTACTTTTTATCTCACCTGTTTTGCACACTTCTATGTCTAATACTCACCTTACACAAATCCTGAACATATTTGTTTCCTTGACTTGAAAAATAGGTGAATTGTCTTATATATCTACGTGCTGAGGTGTGAAACTTCGAAGAAGGAAGTAATTCACCTTGATAAATTAAACTAAAAGGATTCGATATCTGTCAGGAATACCCCTATGAAGCTTAATGATGGTCGAAATTGATTTAAAGTAGGAACATTTCTGCTTGTACTAGCCTACCGTTGAGTTACTTTGAGTAATATAAACTAGTAACTATATAAAGCATAGGTATGAGTCACTACTCGACGCCTTAATCCGTATTATTTTTATTATTTTTTCCCTTGGGTTCCTAGTGGAACGTAGGGCTTCAGTAGCACGCCTCCATTCCATTCTCTTCTCTGCAGTCTTTTGAACCTTGCTCCACGACTGCCCAGAAGCTTTCATTTCTTCCTCACACGATCTCCTCCATGTCACCCTCGCCTTAGACGCCCAACTCGTCGTTTCTCATGTGGGTTCCATTCGAGGACCTGGCCTAGCGCGCGATGTCCCGATCGGCCTTCTCAGTGTATGCCAAATCCATCTCCACTTTCTTCCGCATATTTATTGGGTTCTTGGTTGGTTCGTTTCCAGTCAGAGTTCCTTGTTGCTTATTCTTTCTGGTCATCTGATCTTCAGTGTCAGTATCGAGTGAGCTGTTGATGAATGTCTGCAGTTTGCTGGAAGTGCTTTTCGTGACGCGCCAAGTCTATGAACCATATAGTAGCACTGACCTGGCATTGGTGTTAAAATCCGGATGTTGTTCTTTGTGCTGAGTGGAGGTCAGTAGATCTCCACACTGATTTCAGATTAATGAAAGCCTTTCTTGCTTTTCCGATCCTGGTTTTGACATCCTCGTCTGTGCCGCCTGTAGTTGGAACGATGCTGCCTAGGTAGGTGAAAGACTTAATCCGTATAAAATGGGCTATTCTCGACTTATTTTAAAACAATATAAAATTTAAAATAAAATCAAGTAAAATACACCTAATTTCGTTGCAGTGTACACCATTATAATTCAATGGCAAAGGATTCTGGTCAAGTTTATGACTTCCATATTTGCTAATATCATAGACTTATAGTGAAAGGTTATTTGTTAATGAACAAACATTACCAGCACGAGTAAGAGTTTTGTAAACTGGACATTCGTAAATCCCCTGACTTGGAGGTTTACGATTAGCTGTTGGTATAAGCCAAATAACTGGCATATTGACAAACAGTTCTTTTGGTTTAGATTCACAAAGTATATGGCTTTTAGGATCCCATCCAGCACCTTCTAAAAATAGACCACGAATGTAGCTTCCATCTGTGGGTGATTCATTCAACTCTTGATAGCCTCCTTCATGACCTAGAAGAGAAAGGCAGAAACGTTTTCAACAGAAGCTTTGGTATATTTAGTGACTTTATTAAAAATTGGTATCTTAAGAAAGACAGCCCTGATTGAAATAAATGAGTTGGGCATTCGGTAGAAGATTTATGATGAAAATACATTCCCACAATTCTTTCCCTTCACAAATTTAGACAGAGGCAGAACGACACTTTTAGCAGAATACCATTGATCCATTTTAGTTTGCGGTTTCTAATCAAATGCTTAAATTTGTAACACTCCAGTGAAGTGGAAGTGCAAATTTCAGAAGTTTGCAACTTCGTGGAAGCCACTTCTTCAAAGAATAAAACGTGTACAAGTCATTTCTTTTTTAAGCAACGAATCAGACCATATTCTCTACAAATGCACTATGTCATTAATTACTTGATAAAAGGTTTTCCTGTACTTTTAATCATTTCAACCTGTTATCTTTAAGTCGATAAGCTAAAGCCTGGCAAAACCCGATTGAAAAAACTAGCCATAGTCTTACAATTAAGTTTCAACATTTTAGTTGAAAAAATTATAAAATTATACTTCAGTTTGGCTGTCATTTGTGACCTAAAATCTCCACTTGTTACCGCAAACGGGACCCAATAGTAATTTCTATCGTTAATTTTTTTCAGTTTAATTAAATTGCTTTTGACCTGTAAAGCTGGATGCTCCGTGAGAATCTTTCGACTGGAGTTGAAGTAAACACTTTCCCTAAACCCCAGTGGTAAGTAACCAGTCACCAGGTTTCATCTTCAAGGCATCCGTCGCAGCGAAAAAACCAATGAGAGAACTTCAGAATATGATGTTCATTGATGCTTTTTTGAATCTCCACGGCAGCATCAGCTTCTTTGAGATTTCGAATAACATTTGCTTATGACTGTTGACCAGCATAAACTAGTTTCAGAAGCTTTTCAATGATATTTTCTGAAAGTGAATCACTTATTGCCACTTGTATTTATCTTGTTACGACCATGTCTCACAGCTCTGAAGTGGAAAAAAGATTTCTGTGCAGTGAACTCAGCTCATTTTATGCATTCAGATACTTAATATACGACACAAGTGGGGTCGGGTTTCTAAACTATAAAGACGACTCATCAGTCACTGCCATCAAAGTTTATATGACTTTAAGCAAAAGAATAGACCAGTAACGAACTATACTACCAAATAACATGATTGGTAAGATGGTACGTATGCTGATCAGATTTTGTTCAGCCAGGTCAGAGTGATCTAAACACCGAACAGTCATTCCGCTTATTTGATGCTGGGCTGCTTAGCGGTGCAACTAGACATGTTCAGTTAAAAAACCAAAATTTTTGCATGGATTGATTCTGAATAGTTGACAAGAATGGAAGGCATAATGTAAGTTCAATGTTCAGCTTACAGATTATTCACAAATTCTATGATCCACATTGACAGATCAAAGTAAGCAATGTCTAGCTGTTCGTGTTTTTTTGTATCACAGATCATACTTTGTAACCTTTACTAAATACTTTCCAGTGGAAGCCCTTTTGAAACCGCAGCCATTCAGTATTAAAAACTACATTTCTGTCCATGTAAATTTCGTATACTTGCTTAGGTTCACTGTCGTTATTCATGTTCTAATTTGCTAGACCAATTAAGGTTTAACGGCTTAAGGGGAGTTAGTGAATGCATACTTCGTTCAAAAACAAGATATTCTGCTGAGAAAACTCTTCAACGGGTTTATTCTCAAGCTGTACATTCGGATAAGTATGATATTTAAGGGCTTCAATTCGTGAGGAAGGTTAAACTTAAATGTTGGGAGATTGAAATAACAACAAGGATAATTATAGTTATAATAATATTGTAAGTTGAGAACGTAAAGGTTGGATGATAAAAAAGGGTTTACGTAAGACTTTTAGAAAGTTCATAGGCTATAAATAGATTAAAAAGGGGTTAAAACGTGGTGGAGATGATAAACAAATAATGGATTAGAGGTTTATGGGGACTTATCTCAAGGTGGGTAGTCATGGTATACCATGCAATGACAGAAGTAAGAAACTGTGGAGCATTGGACTCCGACCCAGCGACTGAATGGTTGACGCGTCTTTTTTGAGACCTGAAGATCCTGGTTCCGGTCCATGGCATGGTCATGGGCACGTGCTTCTGGGGAGTCTCGTACTGCGATTAAATGGCTGTCTGATACTCCCAGGTTTCCAGTGGTTCTCCAACTGATATCAGTCCGTGATGAATACTACCTTGAAACAAGTTAAGTCCGCATAAAACTCTAATCCATTGTTTGTTTATCATCTCTACCATATTTTAACCCCTTTTTAATCTACATATAGCCTATGAAAGTCTTACGTAAACCCTTTTTTATCATCCAACCTTTACGTTCCCAACTTGCAATATTATTATAACTATAACTATCCTTGTTGTTATTTCAATCTCCTTCCTCACGAATTGAAGCCCTTAAATATCATACTTATCCGAATGTACAGCTTGAGAATAAATTCGTGGAAAAGAGTCCTTTTCACATCCTTTATTTGACGAATATCAATCTTAGTAAGACTTGTGACTGAGTACTAGTTATTGATGTACACACTAGTTGGTATCTTAGCTGTTCAGTTAGTCTATTGTAACAATCTTTGTGAGAAAGATACATGATCTGTCGTCCAAGCAAAATGGACATCTGTTTTTCCAAGCACAAATTTATCAAGATTCTATGATAATTTGAATATTAGGAAATTTATAAAGTCGAAGAGATTCTAATGTCATCACTTCTTAACAGCAGTCACAAGATGTCCCAATTTTTCCTCTGTTCATACTGTTGAGCCTTACTCAATGAACAGTTGAAAAAGCTGGCAACTTTGATCTAACCAGACGTAAAGCTTAATTATTTACTGGGAATAATAAGAATGATTATATTGACGATGTAAATTGTGTATACTTTCTATATAGATGTTCATAAATTTACAGACACAAATGTACACTCAATGAGCTTGATTGTGATTGCATTCGTCAAAAAAGAAATATTCTTATATTACTACTTACTTTAAAATCGAATGAGATGGTATCTACTGATATTGTCTTTTTTCTTGCATAGTTCTGTAATGTGCCAGTTAGAAAAGCTTGCGGAAAAAAGAATCCACTTATCCAGAATACACTGGGCACACCAATGTCAATCCATTCTCGTATAAATTTAACTCGTATTACTAAGTCTTCAATCCAACTAGCTAGTGGTTTCAAACTTGGATAGGCTTTATTTGCCCACATAATTGGTACACGATTGTCGAATAATGATCTAGCCATATCTTCTAAGTTGGCTGACATTACTACAAAACCTTTAAGTGCTTTCAACAGATCATTCAGTGTTCTTTCTATGGTTGATAGCAAATTATTGTATCTATGTACAAAAGAAAAAATTAAAACCAGATTGTAATAATTCAGTGAGAGGATATAACTCATTCATAAGAAAATTTTAAAAATATTTTTCATGGTACATTATGGTTAAAAATTTGTGCACTTTGTCTTTAAGCTTTAGATGGATAAGATATGATTCTGTAAGATTTTGCAGATAATTCTGTAAGAAAAGCCGAAAACAAAATAAGAATACGTTTAGAATTATTCAAACTCAGTAGCGACATACTATCCCCTTTTTTAAGTAGGACTGATTGGATATAGGGGTGTAAAACTTGGGCACTATGGTAGAATTTAATTCCATATTAGATTTCTTTATTTGATTTATAACACACAGTAATCTAGTATTATTTACTTGATGACGTTTCGAACATAAATTGTTGCTCATAATTATATCGACGTCATCAAGTAAATAATACTAGATTACTGTGTGTTATAAATCAAATAAAGAAATCTAATAAGGACTGATAGGACTCTACTGGTATATTGGCAGTCTAGTACGGGTGTCTTCATATTTTGCAACCATTTTCAGTCTGATATAGGACCAAACTATTCAAATTAGACGAAGATGAAGCATTTGGCAAGGACCAATGAGGCTGAATCACATCATGTTAAGTCATAGTATTTAGAATAATGGGGCACAGGTTTGGAGCTCATTTCACGTAAACAGTAACACTAGTCGACGCACCATGGATGCAACTCATTTTTATAACCAAACCTGTGTGTGATTATTGTTTAGTCTAAAAACACAGTCATAAATATCTGTTAACCAGTTTTAATTCAAATAAAGATTGAGATTGTGAAAATCATCCTCAATGTTAATCTCCTTCTTGTCGGTTAAGATGAACTACTCGTAATCAGCCTATATTTTCTACTTGAATGCAGCAGCTACTTCAATCTAGATTCAACAAAATGAATTATCCCCCCTCGTTTTATGTAGGGATAACGGTTTGGAAACCATGGTATCTTAAACCATTTAGGTGGTCTTTATATTGATATTTTTTATAAAAGTGTTCTTAAGTTTTTCTGAATCGAGTTTCTTGTGAGCTGATTCAGTGTTCTATCAGTTATTTGTAATAGGTACATATCAACCTAACGAATAGTAAATACATCAGAACACACTCGTTTCGCACTGTATTTTCTTTCTTTTTTAATAAGATTTATCTGATATTAGTAAAGCATACTTCATCTGTTTGCACCTATCAATGATTGGAATTAATTTATTTTGCGGTAAGTAGATAGTACGCATCTAATTAATGAATAGTCAGGGAATGTGTACCATAAATAACACACTTCAACATGATGGGAAAATCAACAGAATTTCAAAGCTTTCTTCATCTTCTTGCGTTATGGACTAGTTAATCATAATTTATTATGTAAGGAGGACAAGATCCTCTTTAGTTATAAATATATCTTTTGAGCGGAACACAACCGCACTGGTGCTTATCGCCGAAAAAATATAAGAGTTTTCTAATCAATGATAACCTAGTTAGTCCAACTAATGGTCACCATTCATTCCATCTTTCTCACTACATTTCATGCGGGGCGAGATAGCAGATGAAATTGGAAATTTATGATGATCAGATGTGCATAGATATATGTTTATAGATTAAATAAAAATCAAATATAATATCAGACAAATGGCTAATTGATAAAAGAACGCTTAAATTGAGTCATTTCAAGTTTGTCGATTAGCACAAACAGATAAACACAGAAAGTGGGTTAGTTTAAATTCACCGAAGCACAGAAAGAGGAAGTGAACAGATAAAGAATGACATTGAAATTAAAAGAATGGCTGAGAGGAGACATTACTTGAAAGAAATAGGCTTAAAAAGTTCGAAATTCTAAAGATAAAGTTTTAATGCATCTGCACCAATGAAAACATCAATGTTTCTCGTTAAGGAGCATGAATGACCACCACACAGAGATTGGTGTCGAAAGCTCGACTCTGTAAAATCTGAACATAGAGATCAGCAAGAAAAAAAATCTAAAACCTGAAAGGCATACATTAACCACCATATCAGTTCAATTTAATTCATTAATTACTGGCAATTTTCAATCACTTGGTATGATCGCGCTACTGAAATGCAAGCAATAAAGGCGTATATACTTTGCTATATTCAACTGCAATAGTAAGATTGAAAGTGAGTGAAATTATATATCGTTTTTTTTATCAACATACTTTTAAAACTATAAAGCGATATATCGGTTGAATAACAAGTGAAACATAATTTGCATCCCCATAGTAACTACGGTTATTGTTACGTCCGTGTCATTAATATTCATAGTATCATTCATTCGATTGCTGACACAAATTCAATGTTTATAAGTAAGACTTCCTTGTTATATAAACTGCTCCTTTGTGTGCACACGTTCGTACCATGCTAATTTTAGGAATCTAACCTCCATATAGTGGCAAGTGGAATATAACTAAATTCTGAAAGTAAACAATATGTTATTACCATACAGTAGTGTACTGATATTTTGCTCCTTAAATAGGAGCAGGAATTATTTATTATCACTTTTGAGCACTACAGTGATTCTACATCTGGAATATCAACAAATCGACGTAGTATATATATCTTACCTGATGACCTCTTGTGTTAACACTGTATTCATAGACTGTTCGTACATAACTGGATATTTGTGGACTACATTAGGTAGATCAAACGGTCGCGGACATGTAGTTAAAAGTGAACGACTTATCTCTTCAACAATCTCTTCACGTTGTTTCCCACTTCCAGAAGTAGTTGAACTTTTTGGTTGTAGCAATAATAAGTAGCCCAGGAGAGCGAATGTTTCGTTTTGGGCAAATGTTATGTTAGCGTTTTCATGTAATCCGAATATTTCAGGTGAATCATTGATAGGTAAACCTCGAATGTAATCAAGGTAGATCTGTTATTGTTAAAAAAAAAGAAAAATTCTATTCAGGAGATGAATTATTATGGTGAACGAACTAAAGACCAGCATTAACTTACAGCTGATATTTTTTTTAGATATTTTCATTACAACAGATTATTGGTTGAACGTCCAATAAAATCAAAACGATTAATTTCATGTTCTGATATGGGACCTGCACGTCGAGGTAGGCGGCAGCTCAGCATCCAAAACACATGCCCAAGCCACCTGAGTCAGTGAGAATTCACTACGTCAATCACTGATTTGCCTTTCTTCGTCTAACCTCAACATCGCTCACAGGATAATTTTTACCATACATGAGCAATGGTGAGAAGATGATTGTGCTCTCTTCATATCTTATAATTTTAGGGTTGATGTCTTACAGTCGCATAGTTGGACAGAATGGACTGCA